ATAGGTTTCCATCAAAATATTATATCATTGGGGTACAGTTTTTTCGCAATTTACAAAATAAAAAAAAAGTAAAAACTTGTTAACAAATTTTCCAACCATTTTGCTTTAGTTTCGTCGTAATCGGCGTTTAAAAATTCAAAAATTTTTTGCGAGATATTGGATATAACTTTTTATATTTGGTACTGTTGGAAAGACAATTTAATTTTCTATCATATACAAAAAAGATCAGTGCCCTACGAATAAAAAAATTACTGGTTCAGTTCAGTTAGTTTCCAATAAACTAAAAACATGAAATAATTTTTTGTCGGTATTAAGTAAAACACGTAGTTTATAACCAAATCGAAAAAAAATCGCTCGTGGTCACAAAATATTGTTGAACAGAAAACGATCTCTCGTTTTAATAAAAAAAATGATCTCTTCTCATAAATATCTGTTAAAAAATGAGAAAGGTATAGAAAAAAAAACGGTTTTGGTCAATTTTTAATCTATACATTCATTTACATTAACATTACAAAGAGGAAATAGACCAGTCCGTTCCAGTTGCTGTAAAATTTCCAAAAACTCGTGATATGCTTGCTGAAACAGATTGAATTTTCATTTAGTTCACCTTGCAACTGATCTATTTATGAACCCCTTGCAACAATCGAAATAAAAAGCAACAATTTTTTAGTTTATATAAACACTTTGCTCTAATTGTAAGGCATTTACTAGTTCCCCATATACACTTTGCAAAGTAAAACAACGACAAATACAAAAAAAAAATTGTTAAATGTTCAGGGAACTTTAGGCATTATGGTTTTTAGAAAAATATAATAAAAAATAGAACAAGAGTCATTATAAATACATGTTCACATCACACACAGTATTTACAATTAATTATTTATGCCTAAAACTTAACTAAAGATGTATAAAAAATTCAACTCAACTGCACCATACACTTGAAATTATTACGAAGGCGGCTTGTATGGCAAAGTTGTGCCAAATTTGGTCAAAATGATATGAAATATGAACAAAAAGTCAGTTGATAGACTAGACAGCTATGATTTTGATAATCTTGAAAATTTTGAAAAAAGCTTAACTCGTAATTTCAACTCCTGCAAAATGATTACTACTACAAAAACAGTAAAAAATCGTCGTGAGTGGAGATAAGGAATGTAATGTAGCTACGTTTGTTCAGAAATTACAAAATTTAAACTTTTTCCAAAAATTGTTTTTTTTTTGAATACTGACCTAAGTATTAACTCTAATTAGGTACAGGTAACTTAAAGTTATTTTTAAAGTTAGTCATTGCCAACTTTTTGATTTGCGAATATCAGATTGTCGAGTAGGCAGGGAAGAAAATTCACAAAATAACGATGCAAAAAAGCACTCAAGTCAACTAAAATGAACACAATAAATCGTACAAAACTAACATATACGTATATATGTACAGTTACTGAATTTACAGTAAGTAAAGGTAAGTATACAAGAATAAATCAACTGTTTTATAATTTACTTAAAATTACTTTAAATACTTTGGTTTAACTTTTTAAGCTACCAGTAAGTGTGCTGATAAGTTCCTCCATTACACAAACTTCTCGTGTATTATATCCTCAGTGATTGTAGAAAGGTAATTAAGGCGATACTAGTCATTAGCGCAGTTGGAGTAACGGGAGAAGCTGATGACTCAGTAACTGAAAGTGAAAACAATCCAATTAAAATACTGCAAAAAGCAATTTTCAAAAATCGCACTCATTATTACGTACCAATTATTATGCCAATTCAGGTTTGAAAAAATTTTGTGCAAAAAAGACAAAACTGGTGGTGTGAAATGATGATGACAATGATATTTCATATTTATACAGTACAAATTTGTCAGAAATTTGGATCGAATTTTTGTTACGTGTTATAGTTACCTGATTTCGACGAGTCTTTAACAGATCCACTTTTAATTTCGCTTTCTTGGTGTTCTGCAGGTTCTGTGGGTGGTGTAGGTGTAGTTATTTGTCTTTCTGTGTGTGCAATAAATCAAAAAAATGTAATTCAAATTAAAAATAATCTTGCTTTGGTACTGTATAAAGATTGCATTTATTTAATGGATGGGCTTGTTAGAAGAAATGTTAATGAAAAAAGAAATATTTGTTAATTACAAGATGCAAAACAATTAGGAAACTTCTTTTAATTCAAAGAGAAGATAGTATAGAAAAAGGGTTTTTAAGAAAAAAATATTGACAGCAGTGTTCACATTATTATTATTAATTGTAAACGCCATGAAAATAATAATGTAAACACTTTTTATTTGAGTAAAATATAAACAGTTTGTACCTTTTCCGTGTTTATGACCTTTTTTCTGATCTTTGTGGTGTCCGTGTTTATTATGAACTGTGCAAAAAAAAAGCAAAATATTAAGCAATAAGTGTTATAAAATAATCAAAAATCGTGCAGAGAAATCCTCAAACTATTCTCAAACCAAACTGGTGCTCAAAAAATTGCACTCAAAATAATTTTTCAAATATAATTAAAAAAAAAAATTAATTATTTCAGAAATGAGTAGCTTTTATAATGAAAAATAATTTTCCAAAAGCAAAAGCTACGAATGTCCTAGATAACAAAAATTAGACCAAGAGTTGAATTAGGCTTAACAATCCATCGAGCAAATTTTTATTTATCATAACACGTTATCTAGTTTTTTTATTTATAATAATTGTGTTTTTATTAATTATTATAATAAAGATTAATAAATGTTTAATATAAATATTTAGGACCTTTTCTTTGTTACACGTGTGTAGGTGGTTAATATTAAATTTTACATTAAATTTTGACATTATTTTTTTGACTGAAAAAAAACCAATAGTGGCTTCTAATTTCATTGGTTCCAATTTGAAAAACTCGATTTGATTGGCTAAAAATTTGGACTGTCGGTTAAAGAAAAACATAAAATGTTATTTTTCATAATAATTTCTCGGTTCTTTTCCAGAAATTTATTTCTAGTGAGTATAAGCAATAACCTTTGATATTTTCTCAATTTAACTACCAAAAAAAATCTTTATAGGATTAATTTGAAATATTTTCATACAAAATAGTTAATTGCATATTCACATATTTATTCGATGTAAAAATGCAACGAGAGAGAATTATTATTTAATTTTCCCCTTCACGGATTTGTCAAACATCGTAAATACACATTCTTTTGAAAGTTATTTCAACAAGGTAGAATTAATTACATTTATTTGTACTCAATGTTAAAGAGTGCTTTTATCAACTAATTTCAGTAGATAAAGTAGTCTTTTATCGTCTAGTGAAATAAAGTAATTTTTTCTACCGTTTATATTCAAGAAATTCTGGTAGATAAGTATAAAACAAAACGAAATATTATACACGACGCAAAAGAAGTCCACTCGTGACTTCGTCACTCGTAAACTTAATCTTTTCACTTGTAGATAAACAATTTCTTTAGTCTTGTATAATAAATAACTATAATTAGGGCCTGTTTATAAAAATAACATGCAAAAGGTTTTAATTGCTGTAAAATGGATGAAAATGTTATAAAACAGCACAAATTGGTTTCGATTTGTAACACTTAAGTAACAAAAAAAAGAGATTCCATT